CCCTGGCACCCGGGGTGTTTGCTGGGCCCAGGGGAGATTTGGGCAGTGCCTCTTTGCCAGTGTGGCTGTCCATCTTGGGCAGGGGTTTGCTCTCCATGCTTGGTCGCTCCTGAAACCTTCCAGAGGCCTCTGAAGAGACCATGGCGTTACTGAAGGAGCTGTCACCAGCAGTGGTGTCCTGCTCAGAGGGTTTCTCTGGGCACTTTGCAGGTCTAAGCTTGCTCCGCAGGCTGCAAATGTCCAGTTTATCATCAGCAGGAGGTGGGTCAGTCCGGGGGGCTGCAGTGGGTTTTGGCCTGATCTGAGGTCTTGATTTCAAGAATGGATTCTGGGCAATGGTCTCAGGCTTGTCCTCCACAGGCTCAGCTTTTGGCTTGGTTGGCTTGACAATGGGTCGGAGGTTTGGCTTCTTCACTTCCTTGGCTGACACCTTGTGTCCGCATTCCAGTCCCATTTCATTTTTCAGTTGGAAGAGTTTGCCCTTCTCTGGTTTCAGCTCGGGCTTCTTGCTGTCCTTTGGGGCTGCTGACTGCTTGGGTGGGATCATGGGCAAAATCATGCCCGGGGGCTTGGGGGGAGGCCTCTGCCTCTCCAATAACTCGCCTTCCGATTTAATGATGGACTCCTTCCTGGGCGGCAGGCTGGGCTTCTCCTCTGTGTCACGGTCTGAGATCTCCTCGTAGCCACCGGCAAAGGCTGGGTCCCCGCTCTCGGAAGCCTCCTTCCCCTTCCAGTCTTTGGCCCACTTCCCACCACAGTCTGTACCGTTAGGAGGAGCCTCTGGCAGAGGACGGCACGGTCCTGTCACTTCCTCGCCGGCACTGCTGTCGGCTGTGGCATCACCGAGCCGGAGCTGGGCCATCTCGTTGGGTAGTGGAGCCAGGAAATTTGGCCTGGACGCATTGCTGGTTTTCTTGTACTTATCGATGAATGTGGCAGGGGCCCAGCCCTCCTTCTCCTCAATCTGAATGTACCACCAGCCACTCAGGTTCTTCTCAATTACCTGCCAAGGGGAAAGGAAACGTCAGGCATCCATGCAGCAGCCCTGTCTGCACAAGAGGGGCTGCTGGGTGTCTCCGAAATGATGTCAGGGTGGTATATGGCTTCAGTGCCCCCCTCCCCGTCCTGGTAACCAAAAGCCAGGCAATCACAGGACTGGTATCCTAACAGGAGGGGAACGGGCTAACGACCTCTGCCAGGGAAGGGGACCTGCATGCCATGGGACTGAGGAACGACACAGCCATGTCAAGGAGCTGAGGCTGAGCTATCACCATCCCGTCCGGGAGGCAGGACCGGGATGCTGGGTACTGGTGGTGGCCACTGCGCGGCACTGTTGGAGCGATCAACCGGCAGCGATACTGCACGGATCAGCAACTGTCCGGCCTCTGCACACTCCAGAAGCGAGGCCGGGACCTGGGAGGAGCTGACTGGGGCAGCTGTAAAGGAAAAAATCCTCTTAGAGAGGCACAGCTTAAGTTTTGTAAAGCACAATCACATCTGCAAGAGGGATTCTGCCAGCAAAAGTGGGTGTGCTAGGAAAGCAGTTCTGGAAGGGCTTTTAACTTTACACCTGGCCTAAATAAGAAAAAACCACATCTCTACCCCCATTTTTGATGTGGTTTTAATTTCCACTAGCTCAGACAACACAACACCCACACACTTGGGGGACAGGAGGGCACAGGGTCTCCGAAGTTTCATGAGCTCATACAAGTTTCTCTCCCACTCTAGGAGAGCCCTGGGATGTTAACAGTCCACAGAGGCAACCACATGGACCACCATGCCCAGTTCCCACCCAGAACGCTGTGGTGAGCAGATCTTCCCTGCCTGGAAAGGGGGCTCCTGCCTGAAACAGGTCCCAGGACAATGGGAGTCGGGAAAGCTGCACTCACGTGAAGGTGTGAGAAGGGAAGATCACAGTCTCACCTCTACTTTCATTCCTGCCTGGAAGCTGATACCATCAGGGATGGTGGTCTGGAAGTCAGCAATGGTGTAATATTCCTCTTCCACTTGAGGAGGGACAGGAGGTTTAGGCAGGTTCAAACCACGTGGCTATGACAAGAAAAAAGAAAACCCATCAGCATGTTTCTACAGAAAGCGTGACACAACATCCATGCAGACCAGGAGCCTGCAGAGACACAAGCCAGCGTGGCCAGGCCGGGGAGGTCAGCTGTGCCCATGCAGCACCTTCACCAACACAAACCAGCAAACCATTTCCAGGCTGAGCAGAAAATTGCTCAGCGCCAGAGCTCTCGCTGACAGCAGGGTCACCCTCCCCAGAGGGACAGAGCCAGTCTGCAGCCTCCCACTGGCAACCCAGCCTTGCCAAAAGTTCATTTAACAACCACACGCAAAGAGAAGAGTCTTAAGACAGCAGAGAAGTGGCATGTGTACTCCAGCCTTGACCAAGAGCAGAGCCTGTGGTACTGGGGCAAGATACCAGGCAAAGAATAACCAGTGACCAGAGCTCCTTTCAGTGCTCCTCTCTGACTCCCTTTGCCATTGCTGCTCTCATACATCAGCTGGCACTTACTATGGTGAGATCTCGGCGAGGAGGGGGTCTCTGCCTCATCTTTGGTGACTCTGTGGAGGAAAACATTCAGATGCTGTTGAGTTTCTGGCTTTTGGTCACATGTGTATTCACAAAAGACAAGTGAAAGCAAAAACAGAAAGGCAAGGACCAAACCTGCCCCATGGGCAAGGAAGTCGAAGGAGGAACATGTCTGCCCAGTACCCTGAGTGGCACGGGTCACCCTGGTTTTGAGAGCATCCCACTGGAAGAGGAACCAGCTTTGCACCATCAGGTGCTGCTGGGAAATGCAGCTGAGGTCACCACATGAAACTGCTTTTTCATTGTAGGCCTGACCCAGAAGACCTGGCCTGCAGAGGGGTTAAAATGCCCCAGCTTCTGAGAGGAGAGTATCTCCAGTCTGGGAGGGGGAGGCTTTTATCCCCATTACATTTGCTGATCCTCAGCAGGTCCCTGGGCAGCACTGTGCTCGTGCCCCATCTGCCTGTGCAATGTCACCTCCAGCCCTTGCTGCAGAGCTCACAGCGCCTGCAAGCCTTCTGCCTCCCTCACACCCCATTACAGCGCCCAAAAGCCTACAGGAAATGCTGTGCTGACACCCCAGCCACCACCGGCCTCCTCCCGACCAGCCACTTACTGCGTCGGATATCAACATTGGGCAGGGGACGGCTGTCGAATCTCCCGTCCCTTTGGCCAGCGAGCCCATCCTTCTCTCGGCTCGCCACGACCTGCTGCCGGGAGATGCCATCCAGATCCAAGGCACATGACTGAGCGGAGGAGCCTGACCCCAGCTTCTGCGAGAACATCTCTCCATTCCCCTTTTTGAGGTAGGAGGCGGGGGCCCAGCCTTCTTGGCCCTGGTACCTGTGGTGGCAACAATGGCAGCGTCACTGCACAGAGCCCCTGCACTGCGCCAGGGCCACGGACCCTTCCCAGAGGAGTGACCCACTGCACTTGAGTGGCACTGAGCCATTGGACATCCCTGGTGCCAGCGCTCAGGACATGCGTTGACCGAAGATCTGGGCAAAAGGAGCTTGTCCGGTGTCATGCTCTGTGGCACGTGGGCAAGTGGAGAGCTCCAGCCATGACCAATGCTGCCATGCAAGCTGGCCACAGCCAGCGGGCTGAGGGCTGGGAACAGTGTGAAGCCCGATTTCCTTTTCACCTCAGCAACAGCACTGTTTCAGGAATAAAGCGCACTGCCAGGAGAAGCAGAGGGGAAAACCAGAGCACTGCTGCTAGGATTGATGTACCTGGTCTTTGGAGAAAGCACAAGCCCTCTGCCTAAGTGCCAGCAGCCTGGATCCCTTCCCTGCTCTAAGTCTGCACTGTTTAGGAGAGAAACCAGCCCCGCGATCTGATCGAGAAACCACATCCGCGGAGTCTCCCTGCCATGCTGGAGGGTCCTGTGCCAGCGTCAGAAACTCTCCCCGCTGGCTGGGCTGCAGCGACTACGCTCAGATGGCACCAGCTATTGAGCTTGTAATTGCCTTCAGAGCTCTCGTGGCAGCTCTCCTCTGCTTAAAAAGTCAATGGATGTTTTTCTGGGGCTTTGCTGCTGCCAAGACCAGAGGTTCAATGTAAGGTTAAGAAAATTGCAGCATGTGCTCCCACCCTGCTCAAGTCCGGCTGTTTGCTAGATCACAGACAAGAGAAAATGAGTTTCCAGGAGAAACCAAATATCAGCTCGGGATGATCTGGAGTCTTTGGCCTCAGCACACCCTGTACACAGCAGACCTGGCCCGGACAGGGTCCTTCTCTGTAGGAGCCTCCTAACACAGCCAGAGGATCCAGCCTGCCTCCAGGACACTCACTGGTTTTCCTATCAGCAGCACATGACGTAACGCTAATGCTCTCACACCAGTTCCCTTTGCACTGCTGGGGCATGTGATGCCGTGATGCAGTTGACCTTCCAGCACAGGAAATCGGGGGATTTTAAAGATGTTTAACCACAGCTATGCTTGGCTGAAGCCCCGAACATCAGCTAGCCTTAGTTTGTAGGGATGGAGAGAAATGAGTTCCAGTACTCTGCCCTTCCCGATACCCTAGACCTGCCTTTGGACTGCACATCCCACGCACATCAGGTCTCTGCTTTGCACAGCCCCAGCTGCAGTGTCAGGGAAGAGGAGGAGGTAGGGATGGTACCTGATTTTCCACCAGCCCTCCAGGTTTTTCTGGATCACCTCCACCACAGCCCCTTTGTCCAGGTTCATTTCATCCTGGTCTCTTGCGGTATATGGGTAAATAACGGTGTACTTCTCCTCTGTTGGAAAGAAAGCACAGTTTCACAGAGATATTGTTTTATGGAAACCTGGACTCAGTCGAACAACGGTTAAGTGCTTTATATACTGATAATTCCTGTTGTAATACAGGTGCAAACACACAGAGATACACAACCATTCACAAAATAAATGCCAGTGAAATGTATTTCAAAACAAACCCAGCTGCATTTTGAAATGTAAGCTTTGGTGAACTAGTCTGGTTCAAGGAGAAGTTGTCTAAAACAGTTCCTCCTCTCCCCTAGGAATAAAGACTGACTTTTATATGACATCTCTCCTTTCACTGCTCTTCACAGAATCCCTTCCATATATCCATTTCAGTTCAAATTTATTTCTCAGAGCCTTTAAAGAAGAACTGTCCTCTATAGAGGGAAAGAAATCTCACGGACATCAGGGAGTAAACCCCCCCCCAGAGACGTGCTCTCATGCAGAGCTCTCAAACTGCTTTACAACAGCAGATCTACATGAACTTCCCTGTTCAACAGTTGGGTTGCCTGAGACATTGGTCAAAGCCATGTGGTAAAGCCTGGAGAAGTGTCTGATGTCCTGTCCACTAGGCCAAACAATGGTAAGCAGTGACATGGATGGTCTTCCCTTCAAGAGGAAGGGGAAACATCCTAACAGCCATGCCGACAGCATGTCAGACAAACAGGTCCATCCATCCACCCCCCTCCCTCACCTTGTCCTGTCCTTTCTGGAGGAAACCCAGGAAAGCAATTGTCTGTGCTTAAACCGCGCCACAATAGGGTGAAGGCCATTTGGGGAAAGGTCCACCTCCAAAACCCACACCTTTTGACATTCATACATCCCCACTGTGCATGTTTCCTGGCTTTGTCTGCTTGGAGGAGCACGGCCCTCGAAGGGCCTGATTTCCCACCCCCTTCGTGCAAATCAGTCAAAGCAGAAAGTGTCCTGTCACATCCAGCAAAACCAAGCTGGCTCTTCTCCTCCTGACCCCATCTGAGCCACCAACCCCAGGGCCATGGCTCAGAGGAGTTACTCTTACAGGAACTAAAGCAGCAGTTGCAAGATGTCTGCATACATGTGTTGGGGGAAAGCAGAAACTCCAGCCTCTGTACACAAAACAAGCCTCAAAAGTTAGAAGGATCAGCTGACAGAGGAAAGAGAGGTGGACATGAGTGGGCCTAATGAAAAGCTGACGAGCACGTATGGCACACAGTGAAGACTGACACAAGCAGGGTCCATCACATGCAAAGCAAACACACATGCAGACAAGGGTCCAAGCACAAAACATGGGCAGCTGAACAAGTCTCTATGAAGTCCACCTTGACCCCATCCACTGGTGTACAAGTCCCCAAGAGTCCGACGGCGGCCAACGTGCCTGGGCAGAGACCAGTATCTCCATGGGACTGGGAAGAGCATGTTGGGGAAGCAGGAGAAGGACAAGAGAGGACGTAAGGAGGAGGCATTTCAGGTCCAAGAGGAGACAGGGCTGACACCAGAGTGGCACAGAGACTGTACTTGCCTGGAGCCCTCTTGGGGGCCCTCCGTGGTCTGAGCCTCCCCTCCCACCTCCATCTCCCCGGGCAAGGGGCTGAGCCAGGTGCAGCACTGCTTTGAGCGTACAGTGGTCAATGGGAAGGATACATTCTCCGGGGGCATTTCAGATTTGCTCTAAGCAAAGGTTGCAACCTTGCTATTGTCATAACATGAGCTCATGCATGCTCTTCGTTCTGCATGGGTTTAGAAGACAAGGGAATTGTCCTAGGACCTGAGCTTTGCTCCTCCTCCAGCGCAGGTAAAACAGCTCCCTGGGGCCTAAAGGAGCCATTGGGATGGCGGAACTGGGTGTTCCCTGGAGGTGGCACCTTCAGCCCCTCTGCGAGGGAGCAGAAAGGCCAGCAGTTATACCGCCAGTATCCAGCTGCCCCACTGCACTGGAGCAGAGAGCTGGGCAGGCAGGACCATTGTGAGCAGACATGACTGAACAGCATCTGTGGGTTTGTCCTTCCCTGGACTCTTGCCCTGCCTAAGTCAGGGAGGGCTAGGCAGTCCTGCGAGCAGCTCGGTGCAGATCAGCACGAAGAAGCTGGGGCAGATGTCTCCACAGGTTCTCACCTTCATCAGGCTGCATTGAGAACTCATCCTGGACACCATCCTGGGCCTCCAGGCAGGTTGCTGGCACCCAGCCTTGCTCCTCCGATGTGCTCACAAACCACCAGCCTGACAAGAAAACAGCAGACAGCTCAGCCAAGGGCTCCCACCAGCCAAAAACTCCCTCCCTCCAAACCATGAGCCTGGGGGGGCCCTGCCCCCTCCTTGTTGCCTACCCAGGAGGCTGGGGTGACCCCAAAGCAACAGAGCCAAGCGCTATCTGAAAGGGAGCACAGACAGCAGCACGGGAGAATCACAGCTGAATGCTATCTAAATGTACGGTTCCCTCCCATGAAAAATGGGAGAGACTCTGAGAACCGAATGGCTCCAGCCACTGTGTTTGCATTCCTTTTTTTTCCCCTTCATGGTTCATTTTCCCTCAGTCTGGGTCAGCAAGCACAGGCCAATTAGCAGAGATGAATACACTGTCTGCAAATCGATAGGTGACTCCTGCTGTGCTCTCGTCGTCTTTACATTTGTGGAAACAGCAAATTTTAAAAGCTAAGAGCAAATGCAGGATTAAAACATGAGCTCTCCCAGTGGAAACCTAGCCAGCTCCATAGCAGCCATGAGCAATTCTAGGCCACCCTAGGTGTCCAATCAAAATAAACGTGCGCTCCTCAGTTATTAAAAGCACAAGCTATTTGTGTCTTTAGGGAAAAAAAAAAAAAAAAAAAAGACCGAGCATTATCCTCAGAACGTCACCAGTGAGTCATTTAGAAAGACAACTAGATTCTCAGGGAGGGAATCAGCAGCTACCTGCCTGGAAGGGAAAACCAGGGCTGACATTTGATAAATAAATTATTTGCCACATCATTTGAATTGGCTGTGCTAATAGGTTTCACTTGCTTCAGGGTTGCTTTTATTTTCCCCATTCTCAAACAATAGCTGCTGGTGCAACTAATCCTCTGGGGACCAGGTTTCCAGAATTTTAAAATCCATTTTCACAATTTATCTTTAAATTCCCCTAAGCAGCTTCTATTAACTTCGGAGAATAAATTCCTCTTTTCCACAAACTCCAGAAGCTGGGCCCATGACATGACTCAATCCCTTTGCAGAGGTTAAGAGCAAGCTTAAGTTTTGAAGCAAGCGAATGGCTCGGCTGCCTGTCCCTGCTCCACGGCTGGGTGCTTCATCGTGTTCGGAGGCAGGAATTGCAAATGGTCTTTCGTGGGCACCATGAGAGTGTCCCCCACTGTCAGTAAAACAAGCCTGTCAACTCCAGGAATGGCTTTTGTCCTCAGGACCCATTGGCCAAGATTTTCAGCACAAAGAAGCCTAAAGTAGAGACTGTAAAAGATGGATGGTGCCTGGTGCTCAGCACACGGGTAGTTAGTCCCTTCCTTTAGAGACAGCCCTGAAGTCTTGTCCACAATCATACAGCCTGCAGACTGAAGCTGCTTCCTCCACGTCCCACCTCAACTGACCAAGAGAATCCCTGTGAGGTGTCTGGATGCTGTTTTGCTTAAGGTCCTATTAGGAAAACACTGACAACACAGGATTGCTATTCCTGCCCCTGCTCTGCGACACAGAGTAGACCCAAAGCCCTCTGCCAAGCCAAACTCCCTGTACCTGATTCGTTCTTCTCAATGATATCCACCAACTGGCCCACGCACAAGCTGATCTCGGAGCTCTCCTGCTTCTGGTAGTCCGCCACCACGACATACTGCTCCAGCACCAAGGGGTCGACCGACGCAGAGTCAGCTCCTGCACAGGGGGGACAAGAACCGACCCGTGTGCCAGGGTCAGCACCAGCTCCCAAGAACATGTGCCACCGCTCCCGAGCACCTGCTGGCCTGTGAGCAGCTCCAGGACACCCTGGGGACCCCAGCGTGAGACGTGAGCCAGAAACTTGGGTAGAGTGAGGAGGAGAGAGACCAAACCAGCAGCCAGGTGAGGTGGGTACAGCCAAGTGAGACCTTTTGCTTGCTACCCACCTTCCTGCTCACAGATAGAGCTGTCCAAGCAACCCCACCACCACCACAGATGTGCACAGCAGCCTGGTCCCTGCTGTCGGAGGCCAAAGGGGGGCTCGGGGCAGTCTCCTGTGCAGTGGCATCAGCTGCCCCAATGCATGGACTAGCTCAGACCCCAACTCAATACACACAACCTGCAGTGAGTTTTGCTGGTCCTGGCTAAAGAGCGTGGACACCTAGGCGGAGGGCTGTTTGCCAGACAGAGCAGCATCCCCCTGTCATCACTGCCCTTATACACTTCAGCCGCCTTCTCACGACTCACCAGCACGGTTTGCTCTCTCAGCTATTTGCTCTACTAACTCTGCTCAGCTCCTCCTGCTGGAGATCCCAATTTCATGTTAGAAAAGAAGAAAAAAAAATACTCCAAGGAAGAGCAAAGCGTTCCTTTGGCCAAAAAGGGGCCTGACACCCAGAGGAGAGCTGGGTGCTGCGGCAGCGGCTGCGCAGAGCCCGGGCAGGCTGCAGGTGGCACTGCGGGCTAAGGCCAGGGGACACCCGGGAGTGCCACCGGCCCCTTCCTCTGCCAGGGGACCAGCAGCGAGGCACAGCAGGGCAGGGCTGGCTTGTATTTTCCAAGCACAGTTTAAATTAGGAGAGTGCTCTGGATATAGGTGCACCCTCTTCGCCTGGCGTCGCTTGCTATGGTAGCACTGAAACAGAGGTTTCCACTCGCATCTGTCTCTGCTTTAGAAACGTGGGCCCAAGGTAGTCCCTATACGTTGAGCACAGCAGCTACCCTTTTCCCACACGTGCACAGGGGCTCGCTCTGTGCAGGGTGACCACGAAGCGACCCAGAGCTTTGCAGGCCCCCACGAGCAGAGATGTGTGTGCTCAGTGCCGAGCCCAGCCTATTCAGCCCCACCGAGAAGGGCGTTCGCTCAGGCTCAGCCTCCTGCTAAACCAGCCCTAAGGTGTTCGGTTACCTACTTGCCCCATCTGCCTCCAAAAGCCTCCAAGAAGCAAAAAGGTGTCAGAAACTCCTGCCCACAACTCCCCTCCACCCCGAGCCCTGGCCCTGGCCCCCAACCCAACACTTTGCCTTGCGGCTTTGCAACCTATCAGATGAGGACACTATTATAGTACCTCGTTGTCCCCAGGTGCAGTAAGAATTAATTAATATTTGCCAAGTGCTTTGGAAATGGGATAGTGATAATTATTATAGCACGAGTGATACAAAAGAATCACACACCTGATCGTGGGTGTTAAGCCAAACTTACAGGGGCTGTGCATGTACTCTGAGCAGAGAGCCTCAAGTTTTGGGTGGGGGCAGAAATCACGTCTGGCTCAGCTCTCTAGCTGCTGCGGCACGGCAGATACACAGGACAATTACCTCCCAGTCTCTAAGGGTGTGAGAAAGAAATGACGGAGACAGTGATGGTCCCTTGGGATATAAAGGCAAAATGCAGTAAAGACAAATTCAGGCTACGTATCAGGAAGAAGTTTCCCCGGGGAAGTGCACCTACACTGCAAGGGCTCCCCATCACGTGAGAGGTCTCAGCCTGTCAAAAGGTCTTTCCTATGGGGGAACCTATTGCAGGGCACAGTTCTGCAATGAATGGAACAAGAGAGAGGAGCAGAGATGGACAAGATCTAGCAGGTCTTCAGCAATCCTAGGATGCTCTGCTCCCCCACAGAGAAGTTCTCCTGTGCCCAAGGTCACAATCTCTCAAACTGGTTCTGAGAAAGACAGACTACAACAAAGATTTAAATGAACAATGTATCTTCAGACATTGTTATCTGAAGGACGAGGAGGCAAATTGTCCGTGTTATTCTGCTATAAACAGCACTCTGCAGAGCTCCAGGTGAACTGGCCAGGTGCAGGGGATCTGTTACCGCTAATGAAAGCTTCTTCCATGCCAAAATCCAGAGGTGAGGCACCAGACAGAATTAAAAATAGCTCTCTAAAGTGAATGGTGGATGCTAGGACTATCTGTTCTACTAGCTCAATTAAAGGTTTGTGCTTAAAACGATCAGAGGATCTACCCAGACCCTGCAAGAATAACAGCTATAGGAAGAGAGAAGTACTCTCCTTTCTGCCTCCCTTGCTGTAATTACACCAATTGCTCTGAGGCTATTTGTGGTTTCAGCAGCCAATTCTGGATCCTCCAACGTACCTATTAAACCAGCAACAGAAGTGGTAAACTGAGCTTGGAGGAAGAAGTAGGAGTTAATTTCAGGAGCGTCTTCACCTGGCATAATCGTCCTCAACCACAAAAATACACGCTCAAGTTAACAACAAAGCATCCTATTTATGGTCAGACTTAGTCTCTTAAAAATAGCAATGGTGTAAACCTTACCATCTAAGATGAGAGACAGTAATATAGCTCTGCAGCTGGGGAGGGGAGGAAGCATTAGTAGAGTCCAGAGCCCACAAGAGGATGAGTTTTGCAGACAGCTGTAGGCAGGAGCACAGACTGTGTGTCCTGAACACCCCTCGCTTGTGAGGCTGACACAGACGTGGCCTAGAGAAGGGATGTGCACTGAGTCAAGAAACCACTGAGGTCCTTGGACTGGACTTGCAGCACTTGCCAAGGATGCAGGAGAGCCTGCGGGGAGACGCACTCAGGTCTGCAGGCAGGGCCAGGCAGAAGCCGCCTCCAGCAGTGCACATCCCAGCTACCAACCCAAGGACTGCTCGGCACAGTGACCTTGCTTTCAAGACACGTGACGTACGAGTGATGGGTCAGCCCGTAAATCTTTGCAGGTTTTGTTTGACCAGGAGGTTGGCCATTCATCCAAAGCATTGGGATGTATAAAACCAGGTAGGAAATCTCACAGATACAGGGTTGCTTGTGACATTTTCAACCTTTCCAATTTTGGGCTTTGCAGTATCAGTGCCAAAATTGAGAACTTTCTTATGGGGCTTGGACGCTGATGCCTCCAGAGGGAAACAAAAAGCTCAGGACTGAAATAAAAGAGGGGGCACAGGTGTGTGTTTTTGAAGCCTGCCCTTGCTGTACACTCTAGCCCCTGCCTAATGCACCTTCCAAAAATGTCACGCTTTATCCAACTTTGGATAAAGTTTCTCCCTCCTAGTCCTGTGGCCTGTGCTAATCTGTCCCACGCTCTCAGGGCAGCCCCTCCTCTCCCAGACCTGCAGAGTTTGTGAAGATCAATACTGCAAAAGTGAGTTTCTTTCTGCTCTCATGTGAAATGGGCACTAGATGTTGTGCTGTACTCTTTGCAAGCTCTCTCATCTCTCCAGGGATTTTTCCAGAACTGGAAAATTATCACATAGAAATACCATTCACCAGTGGAGTTTTAGAAAGGGTCCCTGTGGCTGCTGTAGGATATGACAGCCGTGTTTTCACCGTCTCTCATTAGACGGAATACTGTGGTTTGGGGTCTCTACGCCATTGCAGGCACATTACATAGCACAGCATAAGTGATGTGGCCACACGAGAAAGCATCTAAAATAAAACTTGCAAGGGGATACTGGAGCTCTCTGCCAGCCTCCTTGGGCAGCTCCACCCAAATATAAACTCTGGAGACAGCTTCGGGTTCCCCTGCACTAAGTCAGTGCTGCAGCGAACCCATGACTCTCCATCTGTGCTTTCTGTTGAACTGTGAGAGGAGCAATGAATAGAAACGCTCAAAACAGTCTTGGGGGCTGATCCGATGACTGCTTTTAGATGTACTTAAATCAGTGGCCAAGCCAGTCTTCAGAGCCTGGGGAATAATCCATCCCCCCGCAAGCTGCAGGCTGTAGGGAGCCTGGGCCCATGCCTAAGGCTCACAGACATGTGGGATTACAAATACTGGTAAAAAAAACTCAGCAGAGTAAACAGATTTTATTCCCACTGCTCACTTACACCGGGCCCTCCTCGCAACAGCAAATGTCACTTGAGTCTCTTGGTCACTACAGGAGGCTGAGGGTAGGCAGCACTTTAACCCACTTCGCGTCCCAGTGTTTGCCGAAATCCTGTTTCAAAACAGGGCTTGCTGTGCCAGGAGCTCGGGAGCTGTTTCCAATGCTCTCCTGAAGAGCAGCTCGCCCACTCTCTGGCAATGCTGGGAAGAGTAAGCAATTGGGAAACACTTCTCACTGGTTTTGTTTCTGAACAGCTAATGCTTGCCCCCTCCTCAGAGAGATCCCCTATTGAAAGAGCCTTTTTTGTGCCTTCTGCATATTTGATACCTCAAAGCAGATCTGGCTTGAGGAATCAATCAACAGTCAGGGACTTCCACAAGGTAGAAGAGGATTCGGGGTGATAGGAGCAGAATGAAACTCTGTTTCTGCTAGCAAAAAATGCAAAACAGTGAGAGGAGCGTGAACACATCTGGCAAAAGGCATCAGCCCTTTGTAACCTTACTGCACGTAAGCATCTTTCCCTGATGGCTACTGCACACAGGCCAGGTGCCATGGGCAAAACATCCCATCCTGCCCTGCCAGGGCAGGCTCTGGCTTGGTTTTTACACAAACTCTCCCTCCCTCTCAATGGTGCCAAGCAAACAGCATCTCAAAGAGCATTTTCTCTTTGACCTCAGCAACATCCCTGTCACGTATAAACCCACCGTGCCAACAAGACAGCAGAATGGAGCTGCCCATAAACCTGCAGCGAGAAGGCAGGACGAAGCTGTGCATGCAAAGAGGAGAAAAGCTCCCGCTTCTCTAGCAGTCAGCATCCTTAAACTGAATTCTGCCCTCAAAGAACTGAGTTATGCAGCAGAAATTTTCTTCCTCTTCTCCTCAACCCAAGAGAGGTCTTCTTTTCTCTTGCCTAAGTGGATGGGGTTCAAAGTGATCTAAACACACACTGATCTCATAGGGAAACATAATACGTCTCCCTTATTCACCAAATGTGTGCTGAGCCAGCACACAAGAGAGTTTTCAAGACGAGGGAGATTGTGTCTTTATTTTAGCTCTGTTTTATCAAAAGGGAGGAAAACTAAAAAAATTGCAGCCTGTTTTTTTCCCCACCCACAGCTAGAGACTTCCCTCTGCCTCCAAAGCTAGCTGAAGACCCACCACTTCAGCACAAGAAATCTAGCACAAAACCTCCAGTCTGTGCTCGCAAATGGCTCATGAGAGCTACAAAATGACCATCCCAAGGTCCAGCTTTGACAGACACACCTTGCAGCAGTCAGTTTGAGAAGAAAATGTTGTCTGAAGTTTTTAACTATACTGGTAAACCTGTGCTAGTCAATCAGGAGAGCACCCGGTTATGACCTGCCCGTGAGAACAGAGCAAAACCAGGAGCCACTGTTGAAGCAGACAACATCTGAGTTTTTCATACGCATCCTACAACTACTTTCAGGTAAGAGGATGGGACACCATCAGTTCTTGAGGGTGGGATACCCTGCAGATCCAGTAGAAAAGAAAGGAAAGTGGAATTAAGTCTTCGAGTCTCCCCTGTACCTTTTCTGTCTCCTCCGAGGAACCCACTCATCTACAAGTGAAATAGCTTATGCAGCTTACGGCAGTGCAAGCACTCAGGCCAAAAACTTTTCCACAACCTATTTCAGCAGAATCTCCATGCAGCCAAGACTCAGACCTTCCTTCCAAAGACCCTCACACTATTTTTATATCTTCTGCGGCTCCAGTAGCTGAAAGATGCCCTCCCTAATCCACAGACTGAAGGCTCTTCTCCTCTTTCTGGGAAGCTCAAATAACTGCTTAAACATACCAACTAGGAGGTCTTCCAGAGATGTTCCCCTCTCTTGAGGAGCAGGGGTAGAGCATCCCAGATCCACCTGTCAACCCAAAGAGTCCCAGCTGGTGCAATCACAAAGCAGAACATACCGCTGCATCGGGAGACTTTCAACCTCACGCTGACCACCATGCAGCTCAGACCCTCCTTCGGACTTGGGAAATTTTGCATCCCCATCCTCCTGGTTGGAGACCAAGCCCTGTCCTTCGCCCAAGACCTGCAACACATCCCCTGCATGTGGAGCTGTCCTGACAGCCAAGCGCCAGTCCCGAGCCTGCTGTACCTTCTCTCCACTGCTGCCCCGTGTCCACCAGCCACCACAGAAAGCTACGTGGGACATGACAGCTTCTTGCAAGGGGCTTGCCCCCCCAGCCCGAGCAGGTGTCCCCCCGCGAAAGGCAAAGCGAAAGCAAGGGCCAGGTAGCAAGCGGCTGTTACTACCTCTCTGCAGGAAAGAGGCCGTTCTCTGGATAAACCCTGATGGAGGAACAAAATGACGGGAGACAAGGCATGAGGTGAGGAGGGAAACAAACAGGGGGGTGGCAGCAACGGTGGCGACTCGATTAACGAGTGAACAGGGAGGCCAGCGCAGCGTGGAGAGCTGCAGACATCCGTCCCACCTGTGGGAGCGCCACGGGAGGCAGAGGGGGATGTGAGACCAGAACTTGGAGGCTGCAGTGAAACCCTGGGTGGGCAGAGGGGGCACACCATGTCGGGAAGCCCCCCATCCCCCACAGGGGAGCACACCCATGGGGCCAGACCCTCATCCCACTCCAGGAGACCATGACTGTAGGTGAAAGGAACAGCTGGTGGAACCGGTGGAGAGGAAAGGAGTCCTTACCAGACCTCTTCTTTCCAATGGGCTCCCTGGAAAAGAGAAGGAAGAGTGTCAGCAGAGGGATGGGGCAGTTGGTTGTTGGCCAAACAACAAACCTGCACAGGAAAGCACAGCAGTGCCGGCCCCGGTGGGGCCACTGACCTCCCTCAAACAACTAAGGTCCCTACCGGTGACACAGGGCATCCCTCGCCTTGCAAACAGCCCGTCTCTTCCCCCCACCCCTCGCTCCTCATTTAGTAATTTAATGCTTTCATCTTTCCCAGGGTGAGGCTTGGTTGCTGGCCTGGGCTCCTCAGTGGCTTTGTCTGACAGCCACAATTCCCACCATGTCACTTGGCAAAGGTGGGTGGATTGGGACGATCTGGCAACAGAGTCAGGAGCTGGGGAAGCCCAAACCCCCAGAACTGCTCCCAGCACGGACCACAGCTCCCGCAGAAGTGGGCACCACTTTGAAGACAAAGAGGGAAATACTGAAGTTCTTCCATGTCTCGCACCTTTCTCGGGGACAAGGATGGGGAGTGGTTGGGGATGGGGCAAACATTTGTACCCCAAACCAGAACACATCATTGAAGTGTCGTAGAGAGGATGAACACCAGGGCTGTGCAGCAGAAAAATTGCCTCCAGGACAGAGCAAGCAGGAGCTATTGGTGGTTATGAGGAGGCTATGAGGTAGCTTCAGCCCAAGTCCTCTTGCTACAGCCAGCACTGGCCACATTGCTGATGAGATGGGTTAGAAACCACAGGTCCTGGGTCCCTTCTTTTATCTGAATGTTGCCAAGAAACATGGTTGCTGAACAGCCTCAAACCCAGGGCACAACCCTCTTCAAGCACAATGAAATGTTGGGGACTTCATGATTAAAAACCAAACACTAAATCAAAGGAAATACAGGCCCATAAAAGCCTCAAAATATTATGGATAACAAACTAAGATACCCAACCAGCCTGAAACCCAAACAAATGCACCATCTCTGTCCCCAGCCCAACCACAGCGGTCCGTGTTGCTACAAAAGGGCTCTCAACACTTTCACATAATTCAGCGCTGTGGCCTTGAAATGCTGCCGTAGTGTGGGGTGATGGTAACCTGCTCCCTGTTCACTTACGGAGGAGACTGCTTTCCCCGCTTCTCAGACTCACACACGTGACAGATCAAGACCATCTGGCCAAGATGAAATACTCTGGTACCAGGAGACACGCATTGATCCTTGTTACTTCCAGGAAAAGTAACAAGCACAAAGCAGACACTGGAGCTTCCAAGGAGGAAAACATTCACCTGGTGGTAAGGGGACCCTCCTGAGGCTTTAGGCTGCCTGACCACTGCTTGGAAACCAGCCCAGATGGACCCCAGGAGCCCTTTCATCTGCTTATCAAGTCAACTGGCAAAACAACCTTTTCCACTCCCTCCCCTTTGTTTTCAGGCCAAGCAAAGAAATCCCTCCATGCTCAGCAAGAAAGCCAGCCAGAGCTGCGCTACGCTTTGTTCTCTTTCAAGCTTATCTGCATTTTCAGACCCTAATTACTGCAGACATTTTATTCCCATGGAGCGATGGGGTGATGCTGAGACTTGGCTGCCTTCGAAGACTGCCCACCCATCCTGGCAACACATTTTGCTCTCAATGCCTTATCTTCCTGGTCCCCCCTTCACTTTGCACCATAAACATCTAGCATTCATCCATGGAGTTATCAATAAAATTAAATAAAATGCAACAAAGATGGACTAGAAATAAATGGGACATTGTTATCTAGAAACTGGAGGCTATCTGTTAAGTTCAGAGACCACAGAACTGTGCAAAGACCTGAATACCTTGTTCCAAGTGTAGAACCAATGGAGGAATCTACTGGATAGAGCATCCCAAAGACATTTCTAAACAGAGACCACATTGCAGAGCTAAATCAGAGTTTATCAATAAGCCCCATTAAATTTGCACCAGCTCAGCGATAAAGCAGGGAAAGGAGGCAAAGCAAGGCCAGATGAGCACGCTGGAGATCAGCAGGTAGGCATGGCACCCTTGTGCTGACAGGAGGGCACTGATAGAAATAACTGTTTTCTTCCCTGCCATCTGCTAAACCTATTACTGTAATTCATCCCCCTGTTTCCTTTCACCGGCTGCTCCATCTTGAGTGAGTGGGCAAGGAAGGAGCTGCAATTTCACTTTGCTGCTGGGTTGTTCCTGGCACGGATACAAAGAACTGCAGGTCTGAAGACCAGCAGCCCCAGCCCACCACCTCAGAGGGGACAACAGCTCAGACAAGATGGGAAACAGTAATAAACTCCCGGCAGCATCTCTTCCTCCTCCGTTCCCCATGGACCAGAGAAAGGCATGCAGCAGAGCCTGCATGGCTTCCTGGAAACTGGTGGCTCCAGAAGAGAAGAAGGAAAAGCCACTCTGCCTCCGACTGTGAAACTCATTTAGCTCTCACCCCCACAACAGCCAGGCTGTGCAGATGAACCAGGCAGTCACAGCACAATTAGAAGGCACCGATACACAGCTATGACTGTGTGTTACCAACACACGTGTAAAACCCACGACCGGTTCTCCAGCTGCTTCTCAGGACTTTCCCAGCTCCTTGTCAGGAACACTGAAGACAAGGGTTCCTGTGTGACCAGAACCTCACTTAAAGCACTGAGCCAGCAACAGTCTCAGGGTGCAGTGGGCTCAGCTTAGTGTCCTTCAAGGACCTAATAATCCCCCAGTGCAATCCCAAACGAAAACTCTTACACATGGAGAACTCTTAGCACCAACTAATACTGCCCATGCCACTTCTTTTTTTTTTTTTTTTTTAAGGAAAAAAGAGTCAGGTTTGTCAAGCATCCTCTCTAGTGTATCAGGCAGCATCCCTGTGGATCCAGTGATGGAAGGAGTGAGATGGGGAGCACAAGGCTGTGGTGAGGGCATGAGGCAAAGCTAGCAGCTTGGGAGGTAGGTTCAGAACAAACAGAAGCTGATTGTTCTTTAGCAATATGTAGGTGAGCCGTTAAACTCCTTACTGCAGGATACTGCAGACACTGAAAGTCTTCATGGCCTTACAGGGTCATAATTCAGGCAAGAAATATTAATTAAAAAACATTAATTATAAACCCAGGAAAACCCTAAAGGCTAGGACAGTGTCTAGAAAAGAACTGTTACAAGTTTGCTTGACTTTAAACTCTTTCTAAGGCACTCATGCTTGGTGGCTGCTAGGCTAGGCAGACTGCGGTGTGCTGCAGGGAGGCAGCTTTGAGGTTCCCACGCAGAAGAGCCCACCTTGCAGTGGGACTCATGGGAGGAAGGTGTCCCAACATGCATCTCGGGGACCTCAGCACCATCTCTGCTGCCCCATGGTCCTGACCACAGCCAGCTCATGGAGCTGGAGAGGGACAGTGGAGCACCAATGCAAGGAAGACAACTCCAGCTGCTGCAGAGCCAACCACACAGGAGCCACGATCAACATGCAAGATGAGACAGATCTGAGGTCACTATTCCAAGAAAACATCTCCCACACAAAAACCCCTAGCTCTTGTAAAAAAAATCCTTCTGTAACACAGTAATTCCATCAAAATAGCTGTCAGGAGGTAGTTAATCTTGTAAATATTCAGCAAGCTTGGAGATGTTAGAAGTCTTAGCAAAGTTTATGCAGACAAGACAGACTGAGAACTGGGGTACAACAGAGCTCTTGTTTGGAAGAACTGGTGCTTAGCAAATGCTCCACTGAGCACTGAATGGAGCCCCTGTCCCCCACGCTGCAGTGCCGGTGCTACCCGTGTTTAACCACTGCAGAGTTGGCCAAGCTGAACCTTCGGGCTCAGAAAGCTGCCCTGTTAGCTCAGAAAATGAAGTATTCTGTCCATGCAAGGAGCTTGCACTGGCACAAAGCGTATTTTTGCAGAGTGGACTCAACTCCTCTGATGTTTCTGTCTGCTGTAATCTAAAAGACAGACAGTTATCAGTTGAGAGTGAGGGAGACCACTATTTTGGAGCTGGGATCTAGCCCAAAGCTCCTGGTGAATCTGCACGTAGGCACCAGGAGAACTGCAAAACAAACAATTCATTATACAAGCTGTAATTTGTCTGGATAGTGGGACACAGCTTAAAAGCCACAAGTCAGCAAATGTCCTTGTCCAAACCAACATCCATCAACTCGGGGATCTCTAGTTCACCAGCAAAAGCTCCTGGAATGGCTTCCTAGGTGGGGCAGCCATTCCATTTTGGAGCAGAGACCCAAGCCTCCCCTTTTTCTATTAAATCCCCTGTCACCTGGCCCACAACTTCATAGCCCTATTACCCCCCAAACACCATGCAAGGCTGACAAAGAAAACTTGCTCCTGGCACAGCCCAACTACGAGGAACGGTGAGCACATGAAAAGCTACGGGGAAGCAGGAAGAGAAGACACTTGCTTCTGGAAGACACTGGCTACAAGTCTGCGCTTCCAATTTATGGAAACAAGGGAAAGGAGCAGTTTTGCTCCCTGTTCAATGATGGAAACATGCTTCTGTCCAGCGTCCTCTTCTGGCATTTTGAATCAAACACAAATCTTTAACTCAGCGATGGCTGCCAGCACCGCGGTCCTGAGCACGATTTTTCAACCAGCCCATACGGGAGACAAGCTGGCACAGTCAGATCCCATCAGGGCTAATTCTCATTTTAGCCCAGTTCTCCCTTCTCTGATTTATTGGGGCTGGTGCCTGCCTGGAGTGCCTGTCAGTCTGCATACGGGAAGCAATCCATTACTGCAACTGCCAGCGTCACCCCCACCTAACCGCACATCACTGGCGCTTCAGTATTAATAAAATAATAATGACGGGCTGCTGAAGTTGCTGCAGGCATAACCTTGTTAGCAGCACACGCTTCCTCCTCTGGTCAGGTCCCAGCTCATTATTACACACCTTCCAGCCCAGACAGCCCCCAGCCATCATGGACCTTTGCTGATTCAGCAGAGCTGGGATTCAGCCCACATGCGGGACCCGGGTCCTGCCGTCCCCATTCTCCCTCGGGTGACAGTGACGGCTTCCCCTGGCATGCGGCAGGGAGCAGCGGGGTTACTCCCTCGGCA